ATAGTAACCTTGTCGGAGAATTTTGTGAGATAAGGCTTGTGCTCCTTGGTGGGTACCACAAACACCTTCATGCACTTCTTCAAGAACACGTCGAGCATCGGTTTCTGACAAGAATTTAAGTAACGGAGTGGAATATCCACGCTTGTATAATGTTCCTTGGTCGATCGTGAAATGAGCGGCACGAACGCGGAGGGTACGAGCTTCTTTTGGGTCTTCAGGCATGGCCCCGGTTCGAAGATAGTTAATGATAGGATCTATCCAGGTAGAATTTGGGATCGATGAAGCAGCATCGATCATAGTGACGTCGGTAGTGATTGTTGAAGGAGTCGTCTGTTGAGTTATTTGTACAAATTCGACGTCATTCAAATCGGTAGAAGAGGCCAAACGTGAGAGAGCATCCGCTTGAATGTTGGATGTTCGAGGTATATGCTCTAATGTCATTTTGAATCGTGATAACTTTTTCTTGACAAGATCGAAAAAAGGAAGCAAACGAGGTTCCTTGACTTCGTAAGTGTCGTTGATGTGGCTGACAAGTAATTGAGAGTCAGAAAATATGCGGAGGGAGGAGACACTTAAGGATTCAGCAAAATGCAGGCCTGATAAAAGAGCTTCGTACTCAGCTTCTTTGTTTCTGGTCGGGAAGGTAAATGCTACAGAATAACAAAACACATGCTGATCAGGACTGACCAAAACGATTCCTCCCCCGGCACGTATAGCGGTAGAAGACCCGTCGATGTAAAGAGTCCAAGTCGGGTCTTCAATTGACATACTTATGGATGGAGTGAATTCAGCTATAAAGTCGGATAACACCTGGGCTTTGATGGCAGTTCACGGTCGATACTGAACGTCAAACTGTCCGAGCTCTATAGCCCACTTGATCATTCTACCCGACGTGTCAGGTCGGCGAAGGACTTGATGGAGAGGGTATGGCGTGAACACAATAATAGAATGCTCTAGAAAGTATGGTCGCAACTTACGCACAGCAATAATCAGAGCAAAGGCTAATTTCTTTGTAATATCTCGATATTTTATCGGTATAAATTACGTTTAATTCCGATATAATAATGTTATTGTTTTGTTATCGTCGGAGTTAATTAAGTTCAGTCGAGATTACCGAAATCTATTTTCGACGTACCGTTTACGTTCGAAATAATTTTGGTAATTAAGCATTATGTTTAATTAAATAATTAAACATATATTGAGTGATTAATTTAATTAATCACCATAATGATGTTCAAAGCCGTGACAATTGGGAACATTTTTCCCAAATATTCCTTTAAAAGCCGTAGCTTTCCTAAGATTGGGGAACTCATTTTCTTCACATATTGAGCATGATACGTGGCAAGAGGAGAGATAGCTTAGTCATCTTAAGCTTATTAATGTCTTAGCAAGTGTTAATTAAGGAGAAAGCCACGTCCTTATGTGGTAGCCATCATTTTCTATCGGCCATCTATATAAGGAATGACTTAGACCAAATTTCCTCACTTTTTCCCCTTAAGACAAGCACCCCTTCAGCGTATATATACTGGTTCCTTTCAACAGCAATTAAGCTCCAACCTGTACCCTAATCTCCATCGCAAATCGCACGGCAAAGAAGGACTATCGCACGGCGCACGCTAAGGCAGGAAGCACACCTATTTTTCCGAGTTCCGTCGAGCGATCAGTGAGGTAAATTCCTCTTCAGTTCATAACCCTGTTAATAAGATCAAATTAAGGTTATGTGTTCGATTAGTTGTCGAGAAATTCAGATTAAACCGTGCAT